TACAGTGCCTTGCTAAAGTATTCGGCCCCCTTGAACTTTGCGACCTTTTGCCACATTTCAGGCTTCAAACATAAAGATATAAAACTGTAATTTTTTTGTGAAGAATCAACAACAAGTGGGACACAATCATGAAGTGGAACGAAATTTATTGGATATTTCAAACTTTTTTAACAAATAAAAAACTGAAAAATTGGGCGTGCAAAATTATTCAGCCCCCTTAAGTTAATACTTTGTAGCGCCACCTTTTGCTGCGATTACAGCTGTAAGTCGCTTGGGGTATGTCTATCAGTTTTGCACATCGAGAGACTGAAATTTTTGCCCATTCCTCCTTGCAAAACAGCTTGAGCTCAGTGAGGTTGGATGGAGAGCGTTTGTGAACAGCAGTTTTCAGTTCTTTCCACAGATTCTCGATTGGATTCAGGTCTGGACTTTGACTTGGCCATTCTAACACCTGGATATGTTTATTTGTGAACCATTCCATTGTAGATTTTGCTTTATGTTTTGGATCATTGTCTTGTTGGAAGACAAATCTCCGTCCCAGTCTCAGGTCTTTTGCAGACTCCATCAGGTTTCCTTCCAGAATGGTCCTGTATTTGGCTCCATCCATCTTCCCATCAATTTTAACCATCTTCCCTGTCCCTGCTGAAGAAAAGCAGGCCCAAACCATGATGCTGCCACCACCATGTTTGACAGTGGGGATGGTGTGTTCAGGGTGATGAGCTGTGTTGCTTTTACGCCAAACATAACGTTTTGCATTGTTGCCAAAAAGTTCGATTTTGGTTTCATCTGACCAGAGCACCTTCTTCCACATGTTTGGTGTGTCTCCCAGGTGGCTTGTGGCAAACTTTAAACGACACTTTTTATGGATATCTTTAAGAAATGGCTTTCTTCTTGCCACTCTTCCATAAAGGCCAGATTTGTGCAGTATACGACTGATTGTTGTCCTATGGACAGAGTCTCCCACCTCAGCTGTAGATCTCTGCAGTTCATTCAGAGTGATCATGGGCCTCTTGGCTGCATCTCTGATCAGTTTTCTCCTTGTATGAGCTGAAAGTTTAGAGGGACGGTCAGGTCTTGGTAGATTTGCAGTGGTCTGATACTCCTTCCATTTCAATATTATTGCTTGCACAGTGCTCCTTGGGATGTTTACAGCTTGGGAAATCTTTTTGTATCCAAATCCGGCTTTAAACTTCTCCACAACAGTATCTCGGACCTGCCTGGTGTGTTCCTTGTTTTTCATGATGCTCTCTGTGCTTTAAACGGACCTCTGAGACTATCACAGTGCAGGTGCATTTATACGGAGATTTGATTACACACAGGTGGATTCTATTTATCATCATTAGTCATTTAGGTCAACATTGGATCATTCAGAGATCCTCACTGAACTTCTGGAGAGAGTTTGCTGCACTGAAAGTAAAGGGGCTGAATAATTTTTCACGCCCAATTTTTCAGTTTTTTATTTGTTAAAAACGTTTGAAATATCCAATAAATTTCGTTCCACTTCATGATTGTGTCCCACTTGTTGTTGATTCTTCACAAAAAATTACAGTTTTATATCTTTATGTTTGAAGCCTGAAATGTGGCAAAAGGTCGCAAAGTTCAAGGGGGCCGAATACTTTCGCAAGGCACTGTAGTAAAAAAAAGGTATTAAATTTAACTTAAGGATTGCTGTATATATCCTGTCTTTGTGTATAAACTACAGTGTAACAAAGTAGGAAAAAAGAACATTAAGTCTAAGGTCCATTACACCTTTTCATTACCCAGCAACACATGTGGCCATGACAGTCCTAGCTTTCTTTGTATAAATGCTGATGTATATAGATCTGCAATGAGTCACCTTTAGGGAGAAGGGCTGGTTGAAGTCAACTCGAATACAACCATGGTTTTTCCTCAGCATCCTGAACACTCCACATGCTATTCCCCACAAACTTTCATTCTTCAGACAAAAATGAAACCTGCGGGGCGTGCAGCCTCACTGAGGGCGTATCAAAACCATGTCGCAGACACAATGTGACACAGCTGCATCCAGTAGAAATGAGGGGAATCATTTGACAAGGAACTAAAAAGGATATTTGCCAGAATGTGGATTTACTCGTTCAAAAATGCCAAATATTCAAGGTTAATATTCAAGTTTTCTGTCTGTTCTGACTCTCCTGTGTTGTATTTTTTCTACAGATGTTCTTCGAGGATCATATTGATGATGCAAAGTACTGTGGTCACTTGTATGGGCTCGGCTCTGGCTCTGCCTATGTCCAGAACGGAACGGGAAACGCTTACGAAGAGGAGGCTAACAAGCAGCAGTCGTGACATCACTCTGAAACTCTCCCATCCTGCAGTTCACATCCACAATCAGTGCGGCGCTGATGCCAAGCTTCGACGACTGGATGATAATAATGGCAGAACACAGAACATACCCACATCATTTAGCAAGCTGTTTCTCATAGGCTCTGCTCACTTTGGTCAGAAATGTCACCGCTGTCCCCTCGCATGTGGCTGCTGCTGCATCTGTGTGTGAGTTCAGTCCTTTTATTCTGAAGCAGCACTGACGGCCTGGTTGGCTCGGTTACATTTAGCATGGTTGAGAAGATGGGATTTTAGTTTTCCTAAAATGTTCTGTAGAAATGTTTTGCACTTCAAAGCTCTAACCTGATTTTATATGGAAAGCTGAACATGGTTCTGGTGTCGCTCATTCTCCTGTTTGTTGCCTTCTCTATGTTCCCATTTTACATTGTGAACATGTAAATCTTTACTATCACATCTGCTCTCAGTACACTCAGCCTTAATATTAGCTGCATTATCTTTTAAATTTTAACTTACTGAGCTCTTCATGCCCTATTCAACACTAAAGTCAGCATGTGTCAGTATGCTCGTTCCCAGGCGTTAGATTTCTAGCCTGATAAATGAGAAAGGAAGCTTTCAGTGGGTGTGTTTACATACATACATGAATATCACATCAAAGTATGTTTTATTTGTTCATGTAAAAATAATGTTTATAATAACGTGAATAAGCTCAAATCCCACTGTCAGAAGCACCGAAGTAGCAAGCTGGTGTATTCTGCTGGTACAAGTCAACACTGTTACCTCTGTTATCAGTTTGTTTTCCTGTTTGCATTCATGATGATGCTCACAGTAGTTGCATACATTGATATTGACAGTATGTACTGAGATGCATACAGATGGTTTTCATTGGAGGAATGTATTTAGGTATATAAACACACTCACTGACACAAGCACACATGAACAGATGCATCACCACTCCACATGGTCTCTGACTTCAACCGTTCACCAGACCTAAAAGAAAATATATATATATGTAAACACTCACTTGCTTTAAGAAGCTCTGAGGTTACCCCGAACTACTCTGTTGAGAGTACAATTTTATTTTTAATTGAAATTAAGGTCTTGTAGAGTTTTAGTGTTGTAATAAAAGAAAATGAAACATTTTACTCATGGACAAAGTAACATTGCTTTTTAACATGGATATTTTTGTTCCATGCGGTAGATCTGCCCTCTGGGTTGTTTTTTTTTGGGGGGGGGGTTGTTGTTCTGCTTTCCAGTTCGTCCATGCTGCGCAGCTGCATGTACTAAAACATTTGAATAAATGCTGTGTTGTTGAATAGTACACCAAACTTCCATAGGTGTGTGTTGAAGTGTGGATTCACGACTTAACCTCCACAGCATCAAAATCTGAAATGCTTCTCTTTCTTCCTGCAGCAGCACATCTCACACACTAAAAGAGCAATATAAGAGGATTGTTTTTAGATTATTTTGTAAATAAAGTCTTGAAACTTTTATACCACGCAAAGCTCAACTGTTACATCTGTTTAATGACTCGAATGCGGGAGAAAACAGAAGAGGATCTCATTTTATTATAAGGCATCACAGTACATTGCCTCACACATCCATATTGTCTTGAGCCATACAGACAGAAGAATAGAAAAATATATATTGACACTGACTGTCACCATGAAGATCTGTAAAACAAGCATACACTCCTCAAGCTCATTTTCAGTGATGTTTGAAATCATTTCCAATTCAAGACAAGAACAGGGGACGTTTTACTCTACAAAGCAGCTGGAGCAGATGTTTTTTTCTTACTACATCCACAACATCATGTTGTGAGTTACAAAAACAGTATCTGTTTTCTGATGGTGAACAGATTTGCAGCAGCATCACACAGAGGTTTGTTTTTGCTGGCGGCCAGTGAGCTGGTCCTCCAGGGACAAACAGTCAGGAAGCTTTTTTGGCTAGCGGTTTGACACGCACCTGTAGGATATCAGACAGCAGTTCAGGAGGGGAGGGACGCACGCCGTCAAGGCACAGAGCAGCACCAGCTTCCAGGTGTCCCACTGTGACAGCAACATCCTCACTCATGCTATAATGAGTCAGAAGAGCCCTTAACCACATGTAATTACTAATGACTACACTTTGTGTGTGTGTGTGGTACACTTCACTACAACAAGGTGTGTTTTTGGTGACACCCTGAGATGAGAGCATGCATCATATCATCTTTCACAGTACCCAACAAGCTGGGTGGAAAACCTGACCCCCCCCCCCCCCCCCCCCCCCAACAAAATTAACACCACCACTAATCTATCAGCCGAGTACAAATGTTTGGCAACATAACAGCATTTATAAGCTGTGAAAGTAACATTAAACAAATAAACTGTAGGTAATTCTGAGACATGAACTGTGACATACAACAGCAGCTCAGATTGACTTCACAGTACAGAAAGTGCAAAAACATGTCTGTGGAAATGGAAATGTGATTATTGGAATGCAGTTGTTTTATCCAGTCTGAGGCCCAAACACTTTCAGACAGCAGCAGATAGTCTTACTTATGACAGCAATAGTGATACTGACGACAGTTACTGTTCATTTTTCTCTGGTTTCTTTCAGTCATGTAAACCGCTCAGAATCAAGGTGCAATATGGGAAAACAACGAATCGATGAAGTCACCACCACGTCACGTTCTAATAGGCACAAACACTGAGGAGGGGGCAACAGAGACCCTTGGGATTAAACACAAATGATTTTATATCTTGATATGTGGAGGCTATAGTTCACCGTAAACTTGCTTTTCTGGATAGGAGTCAGCTCTACGTCTGATTATGCCTCATTTTCTATGGTCATCCCTGGGTTGCTGGCACCTGAACAAACACACAGGTGGAATAAAACTCATCATTTAAGTCATAAAATCAATTTAAAATCTTGATAATTAATGGGGGTTATATAGAAGCAGGCGGCCAAGATGAAACCCATCATTTTACCCTTCTTGTCTGTGTTTGTTGTATTGTCACTCTCTGTCCAGGAGGGAGTGCTGGTGAGCAGTCGACTCTGACTCTCTCTCAGGGGCTTAGACGGGAACTGGCGGCCCTCTGCTGCACTACAAACACAAATATCCATGAGTTGGGATGAAGCCAGGAATTCTAGGCCCCTTGATCTTCTTTAAATAAAAATTTCCTAATCCTGTAATCCTATAATCTGAATGATTAATTTAAACCTGTGAGGCCATCAGAGCTGCAAGGTGATTTTCTTGAAATGTTAAACCTGCAGGTTAATAAACCATGAAAGGCTCACTGGGAGAGATTCAGACTCTGTTGCTGTCTGTGCAGTACTTACATTTTTTTATGGATGTGTGTGTCCTTTGTGTTTTTTGCTCACCCCTTGCTGGCAGAGTTAGAACCGGTGGGTGAAGAGGGCTGCTCAGGGTCAAGATTCACCAGACAGGTTGGGAACGAGCAACCGTCACCTAAACTGAAGAGCAGCATGAAAGACAAAACACCGTTTGATGTTCAAATAACTGCAGGAGATACTGTAAATGTTAATAGAATTATGTGCTGCATCTATTTGAAATGGTGAGTAACGTCCTTTGTAACTTTGCTGAACATGGTTTCTACCTCCAAACTCTCCTTTGTTTGTATCTTCAAAAGTGTAAATACTGGGGCTTTATGTTTAATTGGACTCCAATTGCCAGAAAGCTTGATATTCATAATATTATTCATTCTGACAGCATGAATGACCATTCAAATTACACAACTGTGACTACTGCACACTGATCTAGTGTATATAAGGCTATTGTGATGATAATATAATTATATACTTGTCATGAGCTGTTCCCATTTACTCCCATTGCATCTGTAACTAGAACTCTATATGGTCAGTCAGTTTTCATATTAAATACAAAATCATCCAGATGTCATCCCAGTTATCACCAGTACTCCCAGTAATCAGTTTTTTGTTTGTTTTTTTTCCAGAAAATGCTTCATTCCAATATACCAGTTCAGTCAGCCAGACTCTTGAATGAAAGAAGCCTTTCACCTTGGGGATTAGTAAGCCCTGCCATTTACACTGAAACAAAACAGTTCAGAAGAGGGAGAAGTCCCAAAGCAGACCGGAGAGCATTAACGTCAGTAAACTGCAACAATAACACAATAAACGGCCTTAAAAAGATGGATCTTTAAAGCAACTTTAAAAGTTTCAACTGAGCTCATTGCTGTTGAATTGTTTGGGAGCTTGTTCCAAAGCCGAGGAGCAGCACTGGCAAATGCTCCATCGCCCATAGTCACTAACCCAACAACTGGCACCAGAAGAGCAGCAGGATGTAGAGCGCAGGTTTCAAGGTGTGATATAATAAAAGACTAAGTTACTCAAATGTGTGGGTGCTCGGCCATATAGCGCTTTAAATGTTAAAATAAGAAACTTAAACTGAACAAGAATAAGCGACTGGCAGCCAGTGCAGTTGTCTCAAAAGTGGTGTAATATGTTCATATGACCTACAACCAGACCTATTACATATTATCTCAGTACTGTATAGGTCCTTTTTAGTTTGCCCAATCTTATGCAGTTTCTTTGTTGTCTTTATTTTGTCTTATTTTAAGAGTGTTTTCTTTTGAAAAACCTTTAACATGTAACCTTACCTGGAGAAAACAGGAATAGGCCAGTATTTAATTTCATCACCAAAGACCTGACGGAAGTTCTTATTGAAGCCCAGACTGAAACCGTTCTTATCTGTGCCGTGACGAAACACTGGGGCACGCACAGCCTCTGAGAGGACACACACGGAGATGACGAGTCAGTCTGGCAAGAAGAGGAATAAATACACCATTCCCTCTAACTTAGACCTTTAACAGCAGTTCATTCAGATAACAGATCGCCACATGAACCTGAACAGCTGCCTCAATGAAACGAATCAGAATGAAAGTGCCTTTGTTGTGCAGGAGAAGCCGTTCTCTCTGCTCGAGCAGGTGTGACTTCTCTTCCTTTGCAGTGTCTGTTACTAAGCTGCTTACGACGCTGAGCCTTGTGTCTTTGCATTACACTGTAACATACTCCTCTGGATAATCCACTCTCCTCAACACACATAGACAAAGTGTGCCAGTGTGCACACATAATGAGAAACTGCTCCGTCTGATAACAGTCCACAGAGGCTTGTCAAGGGTGGGGGCTGACTTTGGGAAAAATGCAATGAAACACCCTTTATCATTAGTGCAGAGACGACAATGTGCAACACAAAAATAAAAGACTGTTTAAATATTGCAGCTACAGACAAAACACACAAATGTACAGAGGTATAAAGCGTGTCCACCACCTACCGAGAGTGGATCTGTTTTTACAGACAAGCCAGCAGTGATAGATGAAAAGTGAAGCGAGGCTGACTGAGAACATAGAGGCCGAGAAGAAGAGAAACAGGATGTGGAACTTTGCTTGACTGTCGGGGAGGCCATTCTGAGGAGATAACAACACATCACCACAACTACACAAGACACTTAAGTCAATAGAAGTGGGTCAAATCGGGGCACTGAGGCAGATCTGAGAGATTTCTACTTAACTATCCTGGGGTGGGAGGTTAAAATGTTTCTATTTCAGTGCCACTAACTAGTTGCTTTATTCATACCAGGTATTCTTTCAGACGGAAATGTGCTCTACCTCCAGCCTTGTGAAAAATAAAATAATGAAATACCACTTATTACATTAGCGAAATTCTATGTGAATAAAGCAGTTTCTGAAGAAAAAGAGAATATTGTGGTGTAGTAACTATATGTACCATCCAAAACTTTATGAAATATTGAAGATCGGTAGCAGTTATAAAGAGGCAGTAGAGTAGTGAATATGCCAAGAACAGCATGAAGAACTTGTAGTTGGAGAATCCCACACAGTTGTTCACCCTGCAAAAAGAAGGATGGAAAACCTTATCTTTAGTACATGTTGCAAACTTAGCCAAATGCTGTGATGAGTTGGTGGGAGAGTTCTTACATCATTTAACTAATGAAGTGAAGTATAACACTTAATAGTTATTTCACCTAGTGAATACATTTGTTAACAGTTGAAACGTCTCCACATCACCGTTATGCATTTAGAAAACCTTCAGTTTAGCAGGTTTGTTTTATGTAGATTAGATGAGCTGGTATTTTCAGCCAATCAGGGTCCAGTACTGTACATGTCGGAGAAGCCTATGTTCACACCAGACATTTTTGGAGAACTACAATCCTGTGTTTTTACAAGCTAATAGAGAATTTGTGTTATGACTGATTCGCATATTCCATCATTGTTTTCCTCCCGGATCCTCACCAGGTCTGGACACCAGACATGCTACAGTATTGCAAAGAGAGCAGGCAAAGCAATTGTGTTTAACCAAGATCATGCAGTCTGGAATCAGATTTGTTCTGCTGCCAAAATCTGTGATCTGGCAGGAGGAGAGGCTCTGGTTTCAACCCTGTCCTCTAAACATGCTGCCCATGTGATACATGTTTGGAAACCCCGCTAGCTTGAATGTAACCGGACAGTATGGTGCTCCAGTGACAAGATAACACCTTCCACCCTGAGCTTAAGGACATTTGATTACAAAAAGAAATGATATAATTACAAGAACATGACAATGCTGTGTGAGTGCAGTGGTGCACTAGTGTAGTGTCACTCATATTTGTTTGCCTGTTTAATAAAAGAGTATCACTGCATACCAGGGGCAGTGGTGATCCATCTTCAGGATGCATCTGTAACACAGCAGGGTCAGACAGAAGTGTAATTGAATCTTACTCTGCCTGCCAGAATGCAATATACTGTGTGGCCTTTTCTCTAGGTGCATGAGCAGAGAGCCATACTTATCACAGACTGAACAATGGTGGCATCGATCAGGCTTCAGCAGATGGCAGTGGTCACAGAAACGGATTGCTGAGGAGACACAACCAGTTCGATCACACAGTCGTCAGCAGCAGGCTCTCCTAACACTGGAGCACAGACTAGCGAGGTGACAGGGGTGAGATGAGCTCTGAGAGCTGTGTGTCAGCCCACAGCAGCAGCATGTTTACTGTACCATACCCCCAGAGTTGGTGCGGGTGTAGATGGGCAGATCCTTGGCTAGCCTCCTCAGGATCTCCTGCTGAGACTCTCCTCGATCTTCACGCTCCAGCAGCTCCTTGTCAGAGCAGGACAGGTGATACTATGCAGAGCAAAACACAAAGAGTCAGACAAACAACATCTGTGATTTAGCAGCAGCTCTATCTGTGAGCAGCTCAGTTTATTTCTAATTAATCATATCTTCACATTTGCCAAAACAGAGTCAAATATTTTGTGAGATGAGCTTTATACTACAGTGCGTGAGTGTCAGTAAACTGCAGCACAGCAGGCAGTGAGGGGTTTCTCTCTTTCTTCCATTTGTTTTGGCTTCCTCTGCCCCGGCAGGCAAATGGGAGCAAATCAACACAGAGCTGCATTATTACTTTCAGCCACTCAGGCGATTTATGAGTGAACACTGGAAACAAATAAATGTGATGATAACAAACAGCTCAGCAGACAAGAACCTTTATTAGTCTCACGGCCTCAAGTAATCCAGCCCGCATCTTACAAAGGAAAGCTTTCATGTGAGGGGATTATTTTCTGCATGTGTGCTTTGCCCCAGTGGAAAATGAAACGCAAAGGTGGCTGTCCTCTCCACGATGCATGCATGTGTGTGCTCATGCTGCGGAGCTAAAGTGCTGCGGTCAGGATCAGCACCATTAGAGTGCAGCTCCAGGCACATCCACTGGAAAGTATTAAAAGTCTGAATGCAGCGTTCACTCTCACAGGGCGACTGTAACCTACATCTGCGCTTCCCACCATGCCTCATCAACCCCTCCAACTCTAACGCCGCGTCATAGTCAGACACACTCACCTCCTTCAGGGGATTCATGGGCTTGGTGAAGATGGTTTGCCAGTACGTGCACACAAACATGATGAAAAAGACATGGTACACCAGCAAGTACACAACTGGAAGCAGAAAAAAACATAGACAAGTCATCATCATCATCATCATTTTCTGTCATGTGCAATTAGTCCTTTGGCTGCAACATTAAATGTGATGTAAACAATAATGCATCAGTAATTCTAGTCCAGTAAGATGCCATTCTGCATAATGCAAACACTTTTACATTTAGTACTCCAAGCATATTTTGATGCTAATATTGTTGTACCTTTACTTAAGTAACATTTTGAATGCAGTATTTGTACTTGTAACAGAGTATTTTTACACTGTGGTGTTGCTACTTTTACTTATCTAAAATGATCAGAGTACTTCTTCCACCACTGGATGTGGAAACAAAGTTCGACACAACATTGGTATTTGGTCACAAACTAAAGGTTTACATAAATTGAAATATCGACCAAATGATGAGGCTAAGGACCACCAAAGTCAGCAGAATTCATTCTCTGGGCACCATAAACCAAATTTCATGAGGATCTATCCAGTAGTATAACAAACTAATAATGAAGGATAGTTGTCTTTTAGTCTCCCTCCTTTAATCTCTACACCGTGGAAACAAAATACACACTGAATTAAAGCCTGCCTTTAAGCATATGACTGAGGAGATGTAAACAAATCTGATTACACACTTCCAGCTGACACAGGCTGATTGCAATGTTTTGACATGAGCGCTCCGCACAGACTGATGGCAAATGAACCTCCTCTGGATCAAAACACTGCTCAGCACTTGACAGAACAATTGGAGATGCTTAATTTGAATTCTGATTGATGTTAAATAAAATTATCGAACCCTTACCCTTTTCTCCCGTGTCTTCGATGGACTCTGAAAAATGAAAAATGAAAAGACATCATGTCTGTGTTGAATAAAAAAAGGTGAAACACATGGAACTTCTGGGATCCTTCCCCAAACCTGTAGGTCAACAGGGGGAAATGCTTCACAGAGGGACCACCCCCATGAGGTGATGTGTTCTGTACATGATACATGACTGACTGTCAGTGTCATTGTCAGTGCTGATTCTGTAAAGCCTTAATCTCAGTGTCCGATTACCACACAATGCACAAAATCAATACGCAGCATGCTGTCTGTCAAATAGTTTGACTAATTGTTCCTCTGTTAGAGATAAGCATCACTGTGCATTGACAATTAATGCTGACAGCATCAGGAACTTCCTGCATAGTTTGTCTGTGTGTGTGTGTGTGTGTGTGTGTGTGTGTGTGTGTGTGTGTGTGTGAATGCTGACAGCTGCAACTGCTCCTCTAGAAGAGACTGACTGGGTGCAGCTGCTGATCACAGGCTGAAATCAGCACCCACCCACTTGATGAGCACCCCAAAACTGTGCACAAACACACAGCCAAAGATCTGGACTCAGACATAAATAGACCTGTTGGAAGATTAGCTGATGCTGGTTTATATATGTGTCTCAGTATCTGAGCTAATAATTACCACAGAATCACCCATCTTCAGCAATTAGCCTGTAAAGTGACAAACACACACACATACATGGTGCAGCTGGGACTGAGGAAAGGTGAGTCAAGGGGCCAAATCAAGGCATTTCAATAGGCATGTGCACACCACCATGCCAGCATAAAAGGCCCAGAGTCTGACGGTGAAGCATGAGTGTGAGAGCGTGATTAAGGGCAAATACAGCAATGTACATAACATTAACATGGTCACACCAGCTTTCCCTTTTCCTCTTCGCATTCTTGCTAAAATCTCCAACACACTGACTAAAGACCGCCTGATTTCACTGGTTTGAACATTCTTGGAAAGAGGACCAGCTGTTCAAAGACTGATGTTCTGTGCTTCTAAAGTGGGTCAACCACAGATTGCTTGGGGTGAATTATGTAAGACAGACAATGGGATTAACTGAGCTCCCAAACCAGAGATATCAGATGATCCTTTCACACAGCTGTCTTTGTGTCTGTCTGGCTGTGAGTGACCACTGTCCTGCCGTGTTGCTGTTGTTTTTATCCGTCTGCCTCATATGATTCAAATGCAGCACAATGTATGCCTTATTCTACAACATGGTCTGTTGCCTGAGGCCTGCTTTTCCTTGTTTTTTGACTTATCTACAAAGTTACGGTGAATTATCATCTTAGACGTGACCTAAAATGAGTTGTACGTATGAGTAGAGAAAGGGCACATTTATAACATGGCTAAAAATGTGTTATAACCCACTTTAAAGGCCTAGTTCTATGTCAACCTTTACATTATTAATAGTTTGTGTTTGTTCAGTGTAATAAATGAATGCCAAATAAACAATTTTAAATATTTTTATATAAAGTAATAGGTGCTCTTTGTAACTTGAAATAGCCTGGAAGACAATGACCCCCAGGTCACAGACATGTAGGAACAAGACAACCAGACTGATGAAACACAGTCTGGTGTTTTGTATCATGTTTTTCTTTTTCTTTTCTTTCTTTTGTCATGTTTTTTATTTGAATGCATTTGTGGTTGTTTTTCCTGTGTTTGTGGTAAATTTTTATTCTTTTGTAGTTGCTTTTTGTCTCTTTTGCATCTCTTTGGGAGCTTCGTTTGTCTCTTTAGAGTCATTCTTTGTCTCTTTTTGATCACTGACCATTTTGCACCTCTTTGCGATCATTTTGCTTCTTGTAGTTGTTTGACCATGAGAACTGTTAAGTACTTCAGACAGAGCTCACAAAAATGAGCATAACAGAGGCACTAATCACGATATGCAGCACAGAGGTTATTCTAAACTATAAGCTGACATTTCGGCAAAGACGTGCCTTCCTTGGAGCTTAAAGGCACACGTTTGCAGAAGCGTCTGGAATAAAGCATTTTGCTTGCTCATTTTTGTGAGGTATTGTACATCTTGAGCAGCTGAGCACACCCTCTTTTAGTCTGAGCATGCTGGCTCAAGCTTCTCTACTTCAAAAATAGGTTAAAGTCCAGGGGCCCTGGGTCTGTAGGTCCATTCTGTAATTCATTAGTAATAGTAAGAACTACCAATATCTTTCTGACTGTGGCAGGGGGCATCAAAGACAGACAGCCAGAAGATTTAGGCCACCCCTTTGGCCTCACTCCTGCTGGTAAACCCAGTGAACTGGCACTAGAGCTCCTGCAGCAAATTTAAAGATGAACATAAGGTGTATGCTTTCAGTTGAACTGTGCAAATTTGAGATCAGATTTAAGAACAAATAGGCAGAACCTCAAACCCTCCCTTCCTGTGCTTTCCTCCCTTTGCTCTATACATCTCCATTTCATCCGCCTTTTTGATGGAGGGGATCTTCTTTCCTAGTGGTCTGACAAGCGGCCAGATGGAGTGCAGGAGTATAGACTGCTGAGACTCCTCTGAGAACCACTGCTCACTATCCAGGTCAACTTCATGTTCACCCTTCAGTGAGGACGCTCACTGTCTGTAACCACACCATCCAACATTCAGCAGCCAGAGGGAGTATGGAGCAAAGAGGCAGGTCTGACTCAAGAGCCATTATACTGTCAGACTTCTTGCCTAATGCTGTGTGGTGGTGGCTATAAATTCAGACAATGAAGCTGCAAGTAAGTCTTTCAGAGTGGTAGTGATCACATAATGAAACAGAGACAGATGGTCTAACCCAATTCTCTATATCCTGTGATAATATACATAAAATGTAAAGAATGCTCCTTCACAATAAAAGCCAGCTGTCAAGTCATTCTAGTTCTGTCTGTGTTGTGATCTGAACACTTGAAGGATTTAATTTTCATGCAAAAAATGAAATACTCTTCCAGCAATATGCTCAGCCCCATTCTGTTGTTGACTGTTATTGTCATGTGACTGACACTGCGTAAACAACATGCCAGTCTTCTGGTGTGCAAACTGCTGAAACAGAAATGTCTCCCCACCCTATAACCAAAGCCACACACAGTCTGAGACACTTCCCTCTCACGCTTAGACATTCACACACACACACCTCCACTCATACTACCCAGACAGCTGATTTCTTACCTATGCAAAGCTGCAAAACGTATGCGTAGTATGACCAAGCTACTATGAGGACGATGAAGAGGACCGGGATCCAGTACAGAACTCTCTGACAGCCCCGCTTGATACTACGCGGGCCTGACGGTGCCATAGTCTAGAAGCGGATCATTCCTCGTGCGCATTCGTGAGTTACTCTCCCTAGTCTCCTCTCTCTCTCAGCGCGTGTGTGTGTGTGTGTCTTCCTGCAGA